CAACTTGTTATCAAGTGCACATCTGGTCAAACGGTAAATGTAGACATGTGGGGACCTGTGTGTATGTTTTTTCTTTTTCTTTTCATCTTTCTTTTCTTCTTTCACGCGGTTCACTTTTTCCCGATAAGCCGCTGCATTTTTTTCTCTCTTTATAATTTCTTTCTTTCTTTTCTTCGATTCTCTTTCTTCTCCCAAGACTCTACGCTTGTACTCCCTTCATCCCGCTAAGATTTTCTCATTTTACCTTTTCGGAGAATTCTGCTAAGATTGTATCTCATATCAAATTTCTTAAATTTGTGTGCATATAAATCATTCTTATTATAATTTGTAAATTCAATATCAACCACATAACCCCACTTTTCTTAATAACCATGTCACATCCTCTTGTCCTAATGTCGTTAGTGGGATAAAGGTATTGATTTTTTCTAAAAGAAGCACTCATGAATCCCGCAGATCTGTTCTCTCATACCCAAACATTACGCGAACAACCCATCGGAACACTGATTGTTAGATTTTGAGTAACCCAATCCACTTTTCCGGCATCAGGCGGCGCCTGGTGAAGTTTGGGTCTAGCGTTTGATAAAAACTAATTTGAATGTTTTTTATAAGATATGGTACCTAATTGGATGATTATTGAGTGCAGTGACACAATCGACTTTTTAAATATAATACGAGAGCCAAGTTGAAATTTTTTCATATTTCTTTTCTTAATATTTAATTTGACATCTCATGTTTCTTTTTTTGTTTTTACTTTGAGTTCTAGAGCGTCCAAAATGAGCTATTTCTTTTTAGACGTTTTGACATAAATAATACTACCTCCGTCCCAAATTGTTTTGCAAAGTCAACATTTTTTTGTCAACCAATGTTAAAGTTAAATCCCTCATGTTGATAATTAATTCAATTTTAACAATTAAAATTTACATATTCAAAAATTACATGAAAATCTCTATGAAGTTGCAAAATCTAAATTAAAATTTAATTAGGAATTGATATCTTAATTAAGTGAATAAAATGAATCTGTTTGACCCAAAAAGTCAATTTTTGCAATTCAATTTGGGACGGAGGGAGTACTAAATTGAAATTGATGGACGAAAATAGGACTAAGTTTAAAGTTCGAGAAATGTGACTTTTACATCATTTTTACCATTCTAGCCATTGCGACTCAACGGTCAACAATAGGTCACTCCCACTCACCTCGAATGACTAATGACCACTCCAGTGGTGCCAGTTACTCACTGTCGCCCCCACCAGTGACTCGCCACTGTGATTGACAGTGACCTGTCGTTACGAGTGACCTATTGCACCAGAGACAATGACTACTGCCCCAATCACCACCTCCAACACAATCATCTCTAGTCGAAGACCGGAGACTGACACCTCTAGCTAGTGAACGTAGTTTTCCTAACGGGAACTGCCGCCATGCCTGGCAGTGACTGTCACTACCCCGAGTCCACAGCCCCTCCCTATCCCTAGCCCCTCCCTAGCCCTCCTCCGTCATTGCCACCCCCACGGTCTTGCTCCGCTCCATGACCAACTCCAGCCCCCTCCAGCAGCCACATCGCTGCCGCACACCATCCCAATCGGTTTTCTTGGCTTTGGTTCACAGAGGAAGCAATAGAGTTTACGTCAGACTTCTGGATCTAAATGAACCCAAGCCCGACATTTTTAGTACCGTACCCCATCATTGTAATCAAGAATGAATCTAATGTCATTGGTCGCCGACATCCTCAAAATTTCATCATCGTTTTAGTATGTATCATTAGGGAAACTATTTTTTATCCTTATTTATAAGAGGTCTTATTTTTATCCTTTAAAAACCTCTAGTATCATTTTTGTCAACATTTCTTCTTTTTAAGGTTTAGCGAGAGATGATATATATGGGGACTATTATTGGAATTGTAATCCTTTTTTTGGATTACAGCGGGGCCAGGTTACGACGTTGTGTACTGGGATGAACCACGGGTACGCACGGGTACAAGGTCTACCATCAATGAGCTCATTGAGTCACTATAACTTACAACCTCACAAATGTCTTGTCAGATCGGGGCGTGAGAGATCCTTGAGGTTTGGGATTCAACCTTTTGGAACATGAAAAAAAACAACTCTTTTGTCCATTGTTTAATACTAGTATTTAGGTCAATACCCCTAAAAGTTAAACATTAAGATAGAGAGATGTTTAAAGAATGAACGTCTAAGGAGTTACTCCGTAACTAACTTTAATTCCTTTACTTTTAAGTTTTAACTATAAAAAAATTGGAAAAAAAAATTAGTTTCGCGTTGAGAGTTTCAAAATCGACTCGACAAGTATATATCTAATCTTTAAATCAATTGTTCAACATATACGTATTATCATGTCCTCTTATAGAATCATTGTTAACAACACAAAACTGACATCTTATATCTAAATATATACTATCGTAATACATACTCCGTATAATACTTCCTCTATCCCTTATAACTTAGTCACATTTGATCAACATGAGCATTAATATAGTAAAAATTGTGTACAGAAAAGAGAGAATAACCAGAACAACCACAAAATGAAAGTTGACAAAGTTCTAAACCATAGAAGGAGTAGATTCTTTAACGATGTATTTCAAAAAATCAACCCCAAAATATTCTCAAAGTCTTCACTTAATTTTGGAAGGAAAATGTTGCCACTTGGTTCATAAAAATAGAAACAAAATCTAGAATCATATCGGCCAAAAGAAATGGACTTGGATTTAAGAACAAAAACGTGTGACACGATAATTTTGAAAGTAAAAAGTTATATACTCCGTAATACATACTCCGTACTTTAGACAGACAGTGTAAAGCAAAGATCAAAGCTGAAGAAGTTCGTCACTTGGGAGCATTTTTCAGATAGAGATCCATGTTTCATTTTTCTCAGCCGCATTCATGTTTTAAGTTAATACCACCCTTTCTATTTTTGACAATAAAAAAAAGAAATGGTGGTATTTTTTTTATGGTAAGAAATGGTGGTATTAACCACCCTTTCTTTAAAAACAAAAGTTTAAATCCAAACTCCTTTAGGAGCAACAAAGGTGGCAAATTTTAAAAAACTTGCCTCCAACAAAATCGGCATCTAAGGGTCTGTTTGTAACAACTTCAGCTTTAAAAAAATGTTTTTTTTTTATAAAATGAGCAGAATTAATTAAATAAAAGTTGATAGTGTTTGAGAAAAAAGTGATTTTGAAAAGAAAAAGTTGGTAGTGTTTGGTAAATAGGTGTTTTTTGTGTAATAGAAAAAGTAAATGCACTTTTGACACGCAAGCCGAGAAAAATAAAAGTTGGTATTGTTTGGTAAAATAAGAACCTTTTTAAGCCAAAAGCTGAGAAACGCTTTTTTTAAAGCACTTGCAAACCAATCCTAAGGCAACTTATTCAATGATGTGTGGCGCAAATCAGTGATGATTTCTGGGCAGTCACTTCCGAGAAACATGATTAATAGTGACTTTGGATTTTGAAACTATTTGTAAAATTGAACTAAAAGTATGTAGTATCATTACATAAAAATTAATGAACACAAAGTGACTTCATATTTACAAAGTGACCTTTTTTAAACTACATTGTAAAGTTTAATACTCCCTACGTCTCATTTTACTTGTATTACTTTCTTTTTTGGATTGTCCCAAAATAAGTGTCACATTTCATTTTTCGGAAACAAATATGTAAGCTACACCATTTCACTTTATTATACTCAAAGTTTAATCACAACTTTTATTTTTTCAATCATTTTATTAATAATCATTTTTTGGATTATCACCAAAAAAAATAAAAATCATTTTATTAATAATCATGCAAAGTTAAAGTGATACACATAAAACAGGACAAAGGTAATATTAACATAGTTTTCATAATCACTACGAAAATATTATTATGTTGATGTCAAATTTGTCTCCTTTATTTTAACTTCAGATACATACTTCCTTTGTTCTTTAAAATTTCCAACGTTAGAATATTAACATTATTCACACATCTTACTTTGACTACAGTTTTCTAATAATATATATAATCAAACTATTATGTATAAAATATTACTAAATTTCTATTAATGTAAATTTTCAAAATATCAACATTTCTAATGTTTACAAATATGTAATTAAATATAATGACTGTCAAAGTTGTGTGTTTGCAAGCATGAAAGTTAAACCGTTGCAACTTTTAGAAAATGGAAGATAATATATACATAGTATTTGTGTATCATTTATACACGGAGTGATAGTAGTTATTAATAGCTATTACTAAGATATTGAAAAAAGTTATACACTTAGGAGCTTGTTTTAGAATATTGAAATGGGGGATTTGACTTTGCACCCTATTTTAAAAAAATGACTTTGCACTCTATTGAGAAATTTTTCTTCACAAAAAGTTATATGATGTGGTGCAAAGTCAAAGTTTTTTCAAAACAAGGTGCAAAGTCGTCCAATATTATTCAAAAAGTGGAGTGCAAAGTCAAATTCTCCCTATTGAAATTATTGGCTGAAATTGATGACATTGATGAAATTTTGATGGAATTGAATGAATATGCTTAAGTACGGAAAAAAATCTTATTGAAAAGAAAGTAAAAGTTATACGTGTATGGAGTATATAATATGAAAAACAAAAGTAGTCTATTTCAATAATTATAGGCTATTCAATCAAAGGATTAACATAAAACTGATAAGTTATAACACCGGCCAAACGGGGCTCCTTGATTTTAAAATCTTAAGAACGTTATTAAGGGGGGCTTTATTTTGAAATAAGCTATCGGTTTACATAATCCTAGCTTCGCTCCCAAGAACCCGTTTGAACGGTTCAATGTATCGATCTCCAGGCCTATGGTTCTACCATTTTTGGTTTCAAAATTTTGACGTTTAACGGTCAAAAATGGATTCCCAACGGGTATCTAACGCCGTCACCGTTACCTCTCGGATTCTCGGCCCCGAAATTCAAACGTTCCCGTAACGTCGACTTGTTTTAGCTTGGCCTTCACACCCTGTATTCTCTCTGGTTTCAAACTTTTGACCCTAAGCAATCATAAACTCATCTCTATCTCTCTACCTTGCTCTAGTATTGAATCTACTTTCTCTTTCTATCTCTAAATCATTCCCACTGTTTTTACATTTTCTTTAGATTGTTTATACATTTGATTGAAGCTTCTCAACCGCCGGCCTTCACCTCATCGTAAGTTGTTAGTAGTTTCATACAGTGATATATATTTATACGCATACATTTCTGATAATTACTGTGATATTTCTATGCATACATTTCTATGATTACTGTAAGTTCTAGAAATATATGTTTGATTACAGTAATTTTTAATTTTGATTTTATGGTTATGCCAAAACTTTTGCTTGAGTTCTAAGGTTTCATCTATGAGTTCGGATCGATTGCGAATTTTAAACATTCAAAAATTAATTTATTAAGAATGTATTAAATTACAAAACAGAAGGATTCCTTTAAGTGACATTGTGATTTGACTGTGAGCTATAGATTCGGACGGAGGTGACTAGCTAGATTCAGTCGGCAGTGGGAAAAGAATCTAGATTTGAAAGAATCAATCGGGAAATGGAGCAGAGAAGAGTTGGTGGAAATGGATTTGTCTCGATGTCTCCGTCCCACACACCGCGGTCGAGCGAGAAGACAGCGAGGGATCTGCGATTGGGAGAGGGGAACGTGATCGGTAGGCACGACAAAGAGAAAGGCGTGAACGTGCAGGTCATTCTGCGATGCAGGTGAGTTTCAGACTTCGAGTGTTCACTGACTTTATTCCTATCATTCAAAATATGATTTGCTCATCTGGGTAAGCATTTCTTTGTATGTAAGGCCATTGAGTGAGGACGAAGCAAGAATTCATACACCAGTGGTAATATCTTGCAATGAGAGTCGAAGAGAAGTTTCGGCTATTCAGAGTATAGCTAATAAACAGATTGACAGGACATTCTCCTTTGACAAGGTATTTTAATTTTAATTTTAATTTATAAACAAATTATAGCATTTCTATTATCACCAAAACTTGTACACATATATGTGTGTATGTATTTATATGTATAAGGAAACAAAAACCAGATAAGGAAAGATAGTTATGACTTATGAAGACTAGGTGATTTTAACTCGATGGAAACATAAACCAGATAAGGAAACATAGTTATGAAGACTGGGTGCTTTTAACTAAATAGAAATTATTCCAGCCTTTGGAATTATGAGGTGCAATTCACCAAGATACATTTTGTTTGTTTTGTTCATTGCTCTCTGCTATAAAAATGAAAAGAAAAGAGAGTTATGATGACAAGTTCCTATATAAATTTAAATTGAAGCTGTGTTTGGTTTTTCGAGTTTCAACAAGGTTCTACTTTGATTTCCATTGCTCTCCAATCTGCAAAAAAAAGACTAACAAAAGAATTACAGTTTCAATGATTGGCAATAACAGGTGCTATACTATAGTTTATTTTTCATTGGCATTTCTTGGTCACCACTCTCTTTTTTTCTCCGTGTTAATGATCTTATTGTGCGCGATAAACCTTGTATAGGTTTTTGGTCCAGCATCGCAACAAAAGGATTTGTATGAGACTGCCATATGCCCCATCGTCTTTGAAGTTCTCGAGGGGTATAACTGCACCATTTTTGCTTATGGGCAGACAGGAACAGGGAAAACATACACAATGGAGGGCGGGGCGAGGAAAAAGGTTGGGAAATTATAAAGTGGCCCCATTTCTATTCATTATGCATGAAACAGTTGTCTTTTAAATTTATGGATTGACTGAATTTTCACCCCTCTAGAATGGGGAATTTCCGAGTGACGCAGGTGTTATACCAAGGGCAGTTAAGCAAATTTTCGACACACTGGAAACTCAAAATGCGGAGTATAACATGAAGGTCACATTCTTAGAGCTGTATAATGAGGAGATATCAGATCTTTTAGCCCCAGATGAATCCTCAAGGTTTATTATTGATGACAAGTCTAAGAAGCCAATGGCTCTCATGGAGGATGGTAAGGGGGGTGTCTTTGTTAGAGGCTTGGAAGAGGAGATAGTATGCACTGCAAATGAGATTTACAAGATACTTGAGAAAGGTTCTGCTAAAAGACGTACAGCAGAGACTCTTCTTAATAAACAAAGTAGCCGTTCTCACTCAATCTTTTCAATCACAATTCACATAAAGGAGTGCACTCCAGAAGGGGAAGAGATGATTAAATGTGGAAAATTAAATCTTGTGGACCTTGCTGGATCGGAGAACATATCACGCTCTGGTGCAAGAGAGGTGAGGAAATATCAACTTATTAGTATCTTGACTATCCTCTGATAAAAAAGAGATGTCTTATCATTTCTCTTGACTGCATCCAAGAACCATGATATTGGCAGGAATCTCCAAGATATTGGCATTGATTCACCCCCAACCAAATATAAAGCTGCTGCAACATTGAATATCTGACTATGTGTTCTTTTTAACAACTTCGATTTTGCGCAGGGTAGAGCGAGGGAAGCTGGTGAGATCAATAAGAGTTTGCTAACACTTGGTCGTGTCATAAATGCTTTAGTTGAGCACTCTGGCCATGTCCCATACAGGTTCTTATTGAATCATCTTGTATTACTCTGAAGTCTGAACTTATGCCTAGCTTATTTTCAAATCCGTATGATTGGAAGATATATTGATATATCAGGGATAGCAAATTAACAAGGTTGTTGAGGGATTCTCTTGGAGGGAAAACAAAGACATGCATAATTGCAACAATCGCACCCTCCGTATCTTGCTTGGAAGAGACACTGAGCACTCTAGATTATGCTCACCGGGCCAAAAATATAAAGAATAAACCAGAGGTCCGTTATGTGGAAGTTGTTATTAAAATCATCTGGCTTGTGGCTTCGATGGGGCAGCACTTGATTCTATCATCAGTTCTATCTCTACTTCACCTGAAACTAATTTAAAAATTGTTTCATCGTCATTCAGATTAATCAGAAGATGATGAAATCTGCTATGATAAAGGATTTATATTCTGAAATTGACCGGCTGAAGCAAGGTCAGTAATTGCTTTCTAGGCGTGTGACAGACATGCTCATTTAGTTTTATTTGCAGATTATTTGAAAATTGAAATACAGGCCATATATCTGCTTGACTGCTTCCATGTATATAACCTTACTCAAAGACCATTTTTAATGCCAATCAGAGGTATATGCTGCAAGAGAGAAGAATGGCATTTATATACCTAGAGACAGATACCTTCAAGAGGAAGCCGAGAAGAAGGTTAGTGGCTATCTTTGAATTTTCATGATCACGTTGATCCATCAAACCATTTCCTGACAAATATACATGTTATCATCTGTCAGGCTATGGCTGAAAAGATAGAACGAATGGAACTTGACATGGACTCCAGAGATAAGGTATCAAACAAACTTGACGCTGACTAAATTTGGACTTCACAGTTTTCTTTGAGAAGTTAAGTTTGTAATCGCGTGTTCTTGCAGCAACTAATGGAGCTTCAGGAACTATACAGTTCTGAACAGCATCTAAGTGCAGATTTGACTGACAAACTTGAATCAACAGAGGTTTGAATATTTAAATCAAAGACATTCAACTTTTTACTGATATCAGTTTCAAAAACATAACAGGGTTTTGTACTGTTCTGCCAGAAAAAGCTTCAGGAAACTCAGCATATGTTGTCTGATCTGGAAGAAAAACAGAGGCAAGCAAATACAACAATAAAAGAAAAGGAATTTCTGATATCCAATCTTCTGAAATCTGGTAAGCTCCACGATATGCATGCTTTCCGTATGCAAATCACGCTTTTAGCAAATGTCTTTTTTTATTATTTTTTCTCTATCATTTCCCATCACCTGATTGTTTTCCCTCAATATAAAAAGACTTTGTTCTCATATACCATGAGCTTTTACATCATGATAACTTTTACACCAAATTTTCAATGAACAGAAAGGGCACTTGTCGAGCGTGCATTTGAACTTAGAGCTGAACTGGAGAATGCTGCATCAGATGTATCAAACTTATTTGCCAAGATTGGTTAGTGTGACAATGAAATTTCTTGTATCATATGAAAGCTTTGCATAAAAATAGTGCAGCTGCTTATATTGCATGAAATAACTACTTTCCAGAGCGCAAGGACAAGATAGAAGATGGGAATAAAGCTCTCATCCAAAAAGTTCAATCCCAACTGACTCAACAGCTTGATTTCCTGCATAAGACCGTTGCTGCTTCTGCCACACAGCAAGAACAACAGCTCAAAGCCATGGAAGAAGACATGAATTCTTTTGTGTCTACTAAAACTGAGGTATTTCTTGCGAAATTGAACCATGCAGATTTTACTCTTGGTGTATTGACAACAACATAGATTTTTTTTTGTCTTCTTAGGCTACCGATGAGCTACGGGGTTGCCTAGAGAAGCTAAAAGTCATGTTTGGGTCTGGCATAAATGCCTTGGATGATTTAGCGGGAAAGCTTGATGATAATTCACAGTTGACTTTTGAACAATTAAATTCTGAAGTTTGTAAGCATTCGTCTTCTGTGGGAGAGGTATGTGTATCACTTGCAAGTTTGCCATGCTTTTTCTGTCAACTGTTTGTCTCTTATCTCTCTTGTATGAATGGCGAAGCTCTTCAAGGGGATCGCTTCCAAGGCGGACACATTGATTAATGACCTGCAAAGCAGTCTTCATAGTCAGCAGGAAAAGTTAATTGCATATGCTCAACTGCAACGTGAGGTATATTATATACCAAGAACTTGTGTTTTCCATTTTTCTCTCCAGGTTTTTCCAACTCAAACTGAAGTGTCACAATAATTTCCAGGCTCACTGCAGGACTATCACAACGTCAAGGTCTATCTCCCAAACAACCACAAGTTTTTTCAGGGATTTAGACATGCACGTATCACAGCTGGGTCAAATGGTCGACGAAGCACAAGAAGTCAATGCCCAAAAGTTCACTGAGCTTGAAAGGAAGTTTGAGGTGTTTTGTCTGCTCTGCCATCAAAATGTTTTTAGCATAAATAACAAATATGAGTGCTTGCTATAAACATCACAATTCACAAATAAAATTCCATATCTTATGTAGGAATGTGCTATGAATGAAGAAAGACAGCTCTTAGAAAAAGTAGCAGAATTGCTTGCAAGCTCAAATGCACGGAAGAATAAACTGGTATGTGGTAGCTTTCATAGGTCTAGGGTTTCTAATTTATCTCAATCTTTTTTTTTTTTTGAGGCACTACATGAAACCTATATTTTTAATCTATTTGTCTTTGTAGAACCCTGACTTTGTAACCATTATAAGTTATAACCCTCTGCAACTTCATGAACACCAATTTCATTTATGTGCAAATGACAATGGTTTTTATCTTTATTGCTAGGTTCAAACTGCAATCAGTGGCCTCCAGGAATGTACCTCCAACAGAACGAATAAGATTAAACAAGAGATGTCAACCATACACGACTCTAGTTCTACAGTGCAAAATGAATGGACATCGTTTATGGAAAAAGCTGAATCAAATTACAGAGAGGACACTGCATCCGTGGAGAATAGAAAGAACGAAATGGAACAAGTCCTTCAAAATTGGTATGTTGGATTGACGAAATGTCAACGAATGGACATCAAGTGTTTGTTTGGATTGACTTGTTTCAAATAAGTACATTTTTAAGAAGCACTAATTTGGTGTTTTTTGTTGAGAGGAGGGAGGTGCTGTATAAAAAGCAGAAAAAAATTACTTTTGAAATTTTGATTGAAGTGTTTTTTATCAGTTCCAAAAGTCATCTGAACCAAACAGGCTCCACATCTTAATAATATGTGTCTGATATTCCATATCTTCTTGATAGTCTTATATACTTATAAACTAAAACCAATTTTCCACAGCTTGCAGAAGGCAAATATGGGGGCACAGCAATGGAGTGATGCTCAAAGATCTTTGCTCGATCTTGAGGAAGCCAATGTAGCTTCTATTCATGGAATAGTTAGGTTAGTTCAAAACAAATATGTTCTTCTTGTCTTGATGAATAATAATGCGATTTAGTAAAATGTTTTTCTCTTGTTGGGTTGTATACAGGGAAGGGTTGAATGCCAATCAATCCTTGAGGTCACAGTTTTCCTGTGGTGTATCATCTGCACTTGAAGATGCCGACAGTGCAAGCAAGAATCTTCTTTCATCTATTGACAGTAAGTTATCAACTTCTTGCAAAAAGAGCTTTTGTTGGATAGCTTGTTATTTAAATAATACGTAATAATAATAATAATAATATAATAATAATAATAATGATGCAGATTCTTTACAACTTGATCGGAATGCATATGAGAACCTCGACTCCATGATTGTTCCTTGTTGCGGACAACTGAGAGAGTTAAACACGGGACACCTCCATAAAGTTGCTGAGATTAGAGAATATGCAGGAAAATGTCTGTCAGAAGAATACACGGTAAGGCCACGAGTGGAAGAAGCAAATACTAAAGAATAATGTAGTTAATGTTAATAGACCAATTGAAATTACGTGAATAATTATTTGATGTTTGTCTTTGCCAAGGTTGATGAGCCATCAAGTTTGACTCCAACCAAGAGATTGTTCAAACTTCCAAGCGTGGATTCCATAGAAGAATTGAGGACTCCAGGTTTTGAGGAGTTAATAAGGTCATTTTGGGATGCAAAGTCATCAAAGCAGCAGCAACAGCCGAATGGAGATGTAAAACACATTGTTGAGAGCCCTCAAAGCTTGAGAGATTCAAGAGTTCCCCTTACTGCTATCAATTGAATTCAATGTTAGGTACATTGTGTACAGTAGCAGCAGTAGCATCAAGTCTTCTGTAATCTGGTGTTTCTCCTTAAATATTCTTCAAGTTTTTGGTGGTGGGTGCTAATGTTATGCTCTTCTAAATCAATCAGTTGGTTGAATGCTTAAGTTCCCACGGTTCTTAAGTTCCCTTTTGATTTTTTTTTTTTCAGCTGAAATATGTGAAACAAATAGTTCATTTTACTAACACATATAATATATATTCTTTGGTTTTATTTAATCACATCTACCACCCCATGCTTTGGACAACATACCAATTAATACCTAGGCTTTGGACAACTTACCAATTAAACCTCAGTATTTGAAAATTACAAGTAAATTCATAATCGATTCAATCAAAATGATTAATTCACGAAATATTGTCATACAGCAATACAGCAATTCTTAAAATTGTCATAGAACGGAATATTGTCATCGTATTGAATGAATTTGGTTAATTTCCATGCAATCAAACACGATAACATATTGATCAAATTATTGAGAATAAACATTGACGATAACATTATAATCTAAACCATCAAAATTTCTGAAATTTAAAAGTAAATCCGTCTTTTAGGGTATATAACTTCCGTTTAATCTTATATTGATCAAATTATAATGAATTAGGAGTGGTCTTACTGAATTTTGTTGTTTTCCTAGATTTCGATAACCATGATTCTATGCAAAAACATCGAGGCTAATTTAATCTTGAAAACTCAATTCCTGGCCCATTGAGTTCATTACTTCATTACACCCTATCCGTTCAGTTTGAAAAAAAATAAACAGAAAGGTCATCTTACTCGTAATTTTCAGAAACCTCAAAGGTAGATGTAGAGATGTATGTACTAAAACTTTCAAAAGATAAACGTTAAGTGCAACCACCACAATTATGAACCATTCTTTTCATGAATACATTTTTAATACATGCTCGGTAGTATGAAGCGAACTTTCTTACAATGGAGAAACCAAAGGATGTTGCCTAATCATTGGAGTTCATTGTGAAAAAGTGGCAAATGGTATGAAGGGAAAAACTACTACGTATTTTATTACTGTAGTAACTATATCACCCTCCAAGATGATAATATATTCAGAGTGCTACTGTAGTTTGCACATTTGCATGCATCACTAATATACATAATTTCTTTACGTGCAAAAGGCGTAGCAAAATAAGTTCTCCTGTAGCAGTCAATCAACCTCTACGATAATATGCTGATAGTGTGTCATCCATTACATAGCCTGAAAACTGCACGGGGAACCCCAAAATAAAAATTAATACAAAAACAATGAAATGTAACAAAAAAGAACATATAATTAGACCAGATAAGCTGTACATACTCTCATTTCAGGCAATGTTGGTTCTCTATGTTTCATCATCATAGTCATCAAAATTGTCAATCGCGGAATTCTCCTGACACATCAAACTATTTGATCCTGGAAAATCTGGAGGAGCCACCGCTTCTTGGTGGATAACGTTGTTGCTGCCGCCCTCCTCACCGTGAAGAGCATCCTGGGCATCATCATCATCATTATAAGGAGCAACGGTGATCGAAGCAGCAGGAGCCTCTCCTTGGTCAATAACATCTTCTTTCTTTTGCCTTTTCCACTTCTTTGTGGATGAAGTCCCATCATCCTCGAAATCCTCTTCCTCCCTATCTCGGTGCAAGTACACCCACAACTTCCTTTCTGTATCGAACTGCACACATGGGTCCCGCTCGTAATGCAAACGGTCCAAAGCACCACTGACCACCTGATTCACCTGTGTATCCGATACCTCCTCAACAATGTACTGTGAATCCCTTATCAGGGTACAGACATCAGCCCTCGTCCCGATACTCCCGGGCAACCGGGCAGCTGCATCCCGCACCAGACACAGAATTGTCACATGTGGGGGTCTGTCCCTTTTGAGCATGAAGTGGTCCCGGGCTTTCGATGTTGGTTTCCCCCCACACCTTCTCAACGGGGCCACGATCGACTTTTTCCCATCGAGTGCTGTGTAAGAGAAGGCCCTGTCTGGGATAGAATACCTAAGGACTTCTTCCTTCCGGAAATAAGCCCGTACATCTTCTAAGCTTGGGGTAATGGTGCTGAGACTCTTTTGTGCCCTCAAATCCCTAAACCGCTCTTTCTCGTCTAGATTATATTGGGCCAATGAGGAAGGAGGGGCGGGTAGACTCCCAATCTGTTGGAGAGTCTCCTGACCATTTTTCAGCCAGTTGGCGAACGAGTCGACTAATTTCACAAGCATTTTATGGTTAATACCCCAAGCTTCTGGAGATGTGACTTCCTCCTCCATTGAGGCCTCTTGATGAATCATGGGACCCACCCAAGACCAACTCTTTGACGGTTTCTCATAAACAACAAGCGGCTTCCACCCCTTTGCCCCTAAAGGTGCTGTTTTGGATGATAATATTTTGAGGACCCCTCTAACAAGATCCTGGAGAGGTTCTTGGGTTTCGAGAATGGAGGGGTCTCCGGGTTTGGATCTTACTCGGTTGACGATTTCTTGAATCGCTAGTGACGGGGCAGCCCTCGTTTCATGAGTAGGAGAAAGGGAGCTTTTATTGGCATCTAACTCCGCTTGTTGGTCATCATTCTTGCCAACAACATCGAGAGAATCTTCTAAGAGCAGGGATGTGATCATAGCCATCCGAATTGCTGAGAGAAGATGGATGATGGAGAAGGAAAAGCCAGTATGGACAGTTGGTGTGATCAATGTGAATGGTTTTTTCTGCAGTGGTATGACTTCTGGATGATGATAAACAGCATTGTCTTCCTCTTTAATAATGATGTCCAATGGCAGTGGCAGCGGCTCAAAGATGATACCTTTTTCTGAATCACTCTCCAATTTTCTCTTTCCCCGCTGCTTCTTCGAGGAGTTCATGTCCTCTGCTTGTGCATTGTTATAATCATTATTATCAACAGCTTGCTCATCAATAAATGAGACGCCTTCTTTGATTTTCCGTTTCTTCATTGTAGAACTGCACCCTATTAACTTTAACTCAGATCTTTCTTGAAGATCAACACCGTACATTTCAAGCATACCATTTGACTGGGGACCCCCAAAATCACCTTTCAATGATGCCCCTTTAATACGTCCATTCTTTGCCACTAACTTGTAGATGGGTTGGTCCTCATCATCCTCATCATTATCACCAATGTAATGACGAGCATGACCCCTTAAGTAGTTCTCATCCAACTCTTTAGCAGATAAAATATTCACATGCCCATAATCAACAGCCATCTTACCCTTCTTCACTGTCCTCCTAGAGACAACAAGATCCATCCCTTCTTTTGGTGTGCTTAATATAGCTTCATCAAAATCAGATGACCGAAAACCACCCTTCTTGTTTTTCTTAACAAACTTATCCTTCTTAGTTTCTGACCCAGATTTCATATCACAAGGAAATGCCAACTTGCTCCTTAGCACAGGATTGTTAAAATCATCTTCATCTTCTTCATTGATTCCTTCTGAGGAATCAGATTCAGTATCTTCATTTTTTAGAATTGCCCTTCTTCCTTTGTTGGACCCAGCCAAACCTCGTTGATCAATGGGTAAAGATGCCCTAAACGTCTCTTGAAATGGCTGCTGTGCTGTATTATTATATGCTGAAGGGAAGTCAGAAGGCTCTTGATGCTTCTTATACTTTTTTCTTTCAGAATTCCAATCACCATATTTCTGATGAGCTTGGTTGCATAAATAATTAGGGTTCTGTTGTCCATTCCCAGGCCAAATTGGCTCACATTCATCAGCTAATTCCGCTTGACTTCCTCTCAAAGATGGATTTGGAATCCGGCCTTTCCCATAAATCATATTGTCCTCAAATGGATATTTCTGGAGATTCTCAACATAGTTAGACTTATTCTCCAGATCTAAAACAGCTCCTCCTCTAGCATTTGAGGTTTTGCTGGACATGTTGCTATCAAAGAAGTGATTCACAGTCTTTTTCCTGCCAGGGCCATAAAAATCTTTTCTCATGTGCGGCATTCGACTTCCAGTCAAACTATCAAAGTACTCTTCTTCACCTCTCAATGCTTCACGTTTCTTTACCATCTTGACTTTATCTTTCAGCCCAGCTCGAGAAAAGTTCTTATTTCTCTGAACAGCCACTTCATACATTCCTTCATCATCATCACCCAATAACCGATCTCGCATGTGATGAGAAAGAGGTAGTGCTCCATATGACCCAGGTTCAATGTCCATCTCATGATGAACGGACGGGAAGCTTCCAGAAAACTCGTTGATAGTAGAACCTCTTGTCCCCCCAGTTAACTTCAACGCTCCTTTAGAACTTTGCTTTCCAAACTTTGCAGTTTCTACAGACATTTGCTTTCCATGAGGATATTGGAACTCCATTGATGATCTTTGTCCATGTGCTCGATCTTTCACTCTCCTACTCCAAAAAGAAGCATCACCGGATCCCTCTCTCTCAGATTCATCACTCTCCTCCATCTCTTCCATCTTCTCAGAAATGTAACTATTCTGTGTCTTCATGATGTTCAAAACACGAAGCTTCTCCTCGATGCTATATCCCCTGCAGTTTTGCCATCCATCTCTAATCTGACAGAAATTATTGACCATCACATTCTGATACTTCCTGAGGGTGTGATAGTGCTGATGCTTTTGAAAGAATATCAACCCTTGTCGATAAAGCGCCACTCTGGGTTCACACAACCCTCCCTTCAACATGTTGAAGAGAGTTTTAAGAGGGCTTCCGAAATGCAAGTTGCATCCTGTCAGAAGCTCTATCAATGTCCTCATGAAAGTTTCTTGGTCCATGTCGGGAAGGTACTGTGTGAGAGCAAATCTTTCTTCCTCATTCAAGACATCATTCCAGACATCCATAGACAAGATATTATCCAATCCTTGGAGATCATACAGTTCAAAAGGAATGCTACATGTTTGATCCCCAACTTGACAGAATTCCTCCCCAGACTCTCCCAATTCCAGCAAATCAAAGTCATCTGATCCGGCCCCTGAATCACAATCATCAAACTCCTCATCATCATCGTCATCCTCAGTTTCAACTCCACCAGAATTCGTATTGTATCTCAGCATCTCCTCGTCACTAGACATCACTACTTCCTTACTGTGTGAAGAAAGCTCCGAGTCCAATCTAGATGACTTGAAGCAATTCTTTTCTATAGCCATTCAAGCTGATATCAATCCAAAATCAACCGCACCCCAGCAAAATTACGCAACAGAACAGAACTTTACGATCAACTCAAACCCTAGCAAATTTCAGTTGACAAAAAAAACTCAAAATCCAACGGATTCATATCGCACACTAAAAATTGAACGGAGAAATTCATATAATTTCAAAAAATTGGTTTTCAAGCATATTAACCCTTACACAAATTGCGAAAAAGGAAGTCAAGAATCAAAAGTTACCTGAAATCCCGAGAGCGGTGGGGGTGGATTGAACGCGGCCATTGGAAACCAAATAAATGCATTCACAGCGCACTCAAAGGAACACCTATACAATGGAGGAAGTGAAAGCAGATGGAGGTCGTGATACAGTGCGTGCGAATGCTGGAGAGCCGAAAGTGCTCGCCAGGCGGCTTGAGCACGTAGAAGGGAGAGGAAGAAGACGACGGGTGGGAAGGAGCGCCAGAAGACGAGAATGGTTACGAAAGAGAGAGAAAGGGTTTGCAGAGAAAAGGAGTTGAGAGAAAGCGGGGCGGTAAGTGCTGGGATGGGTTGGGTTGATGGATGATGGAAGCGGTGGAAAGAAGGAGAAGGGTGAGTCGAGTACTGAGTCAAGGTGCCGAGTTGAGACAGAGGTGACGTGGGCCATTTTTCCTGATTTTGAATTTTCATTTTCTTCCCAATTTTTTCCGATCTGCTTTTCGCATTCCTCAATCAACCCCGCGCCCTACCCGGAATTTTTTGTTGTACCAAGTATATATACGAGTATTCGATACTCAAATGAGCACTAGTTATTTAATTTAGGGAAAATAACTTTAAATAATACCAACTATGTTCAATGAACTAATAATAATACATACTTTAAAAATAACTTTTAATAATACTAACTATCCAAATGTAAACCAAAAATAAAATAGAGACACTTTTCTATAACAAATTCAGCCATTTAAAACATCAAAAACTAAGATCAAATCATCAAATAATTGATATTTGAAAATACGGTCACTTTTTTGATATTTTGATATTAGTTTTTGATGAATTGAATAAATGAACTTTTAGTGAAAATTTGCTATATATCACTTTTGATAGATATTCAAATAGTTTGTATTATTAAATGTTATTTCTCAAATTGGTATTATTCTTGGTTCATGAAATATAGTTGATATTATTTAAAGTTATTTTTCCTTTAATTTATGTAAAAAATGAGAGTATAATGTAGAAATTTAATTTGGGCAATGTATACATATTAATCCCCTCAAACATAGGTTACCCGTGATTCGCCCGCTGACGTCGAACACATGTGACAACCCAGTCAACAATGAATCATTGACTTTGCTTGCATGACGCACACGTGGAAGCCCGGTCAGCCATTTCCCACTTTTTCGCGAACACATGGACCGCCACTTGTGCGCTACATGAGCGGATAACCTGATGAGACATGGTAGACATGCTAATTGACTCAATTGAACGTTTTTTTCAACGTTCAAGGATTTGATTGATTTTTGTAAAGTATGAAGACTTGGAAGCTGTTCTCTTTGTCTTATTCTTATTACTTATTGTTTATTCTTATTTTATTAAGATCAGATCAGAAAAATTCTGATCAGAAAGATTCAGATCAGATCAAATCAGATCAGTAGCATTCAGATCAGATTAGAAAGATTCAAATCAGATCACACAGATCAGAAACATTCAGATGAGATCGGAAAAATTAAAAAAATGATTTATCACTTTTATTATTATATTAATTATAATAATAGTTATTATTATAACTATTATTATTATATTATATTTAATACTAATAATAACAACAACAACAACAACAACAACAACAACAACAACAACAACAATAATAATAATAACAATAATAATAACAATAATAATAATAATAATAACAATAATAATAATAATAATAATAATAATAATAATAATAATAATAATAATAATAATAATAATAATAATAATAATAATAATAATAATAATAATAATAATAATAATAATAATAATAATAATAATAATAATAATAATAATAATAATAATAATAATAATAATAATAATAATAATAATAATAATAATAATAATAATAATAATAATAATAATAATAATAATAATAATAATAATAATAATAATAATAATAATAATAATAATAATAATAATAATAATAATAATAATAATAATAATAATAATAATAATAATAATAATAATAATAATAATAATAATAATAATAATAATAATAATAATAATAATAATAATAATAATAATAATAATAATAATAATAATAATAATAATAATAATAATAATAATAATAATAATAATAATAATAATAATAATAATAATAATAATAATAATAATAATAATAATAATAATAATAATAATAATAATAATAATAATAATAATAATAATAATAATAATAATAATAATAATAATAATAATAATAATAATAATAATAATAATAATAATAATAATAATAATAATAATAATAATAATAATAATAATAATAATAATAATAATAATAATAATAATAATAATAATAATAATAATAATAATAATAATAATAATAATAATAATAATAATAATAATAATAATAATAATAATAATAATAATAATAATAATAATAATAATAATAATAATAATAATAATAATAATAATAATAATAATAATAATAATAATAATAATAATAATAATAATAATAATAATAATAATAATAATAATAATAATAATAATAATAATAATAATAATAATAATAATAATAATAATAATAATAATAATAATAATAATAATAATAATAATAATAATAATAATAATAATAATAATAATAATAATAATAATAATAATAATAATAATAATAATAATAATAATAATAATAATAATAATAATAATAATAATAATAATAATAATAATAATAATAATAATAATAATAATAATAATAATAATAATAATAATAATAATAATAATAATAATAATAATAATAATAATAATAATAATAATAATAATAATAATAATAATAATAATAATAATAATAATAATAATAATAATAATAATAATAATAATAATAATAATAATAATAATAATAATAATAATAATAATAATAATAATAATAATAATAATAATAATAATAATAATAATAATAATAATAATAATAATAATAATAATAATAATAATAATAATAATAATAATAATAATAATAATAATAATAATAATAATAATAATAATAATAATAATAATAATAATAATAATAATAATAATAATAATAATAATAATAATAATAATAATAATAATAATAATAATAATAATAATAATAATAATAATAATAATAATAATAATAATAATAATAATAATAATAATAATAATAATAATAATAATAATAATAATAATAATAATAATAATAATAATAATAATAATAATAATAATAATAATAATAATAATAATAATAATAATAATAATAATAATAATAATAATAATAATAATAATAATAATAATAATAATAATAATAATAATAATAATAATAATAATAATAATAATAATAATAATAATAATAATAATAATAATAATAATAATAATAATAATAATAATAATAATAATAATAATAATAATAATAATAATAATAATAATAATAATAATAATAATAATAATAATAATAATAAAGTATATATAGAAGTATAGAATAGAAGTATATATATTAGGAAAAATTGAAAATAATAATCCCAACTATTGCCGGTCCGCTGAAAATAATCGATTATTTTTGTATAATCCCAACTATAGAGACTATCCGCCAATAATGGTCCATGACCATATATTAACTCTATAAAAAGTGAATTTTAAATAGAAATTAAACTTAAAAATTAAAACTTGAGATTATTTATAGGGATTACTTGTTATATCTCATCTCATCCACTTTAGAAACTACAAAAATTTATTCATAGGGACCATTATTGGCGGAAGGTCCCTAAAGTTGGGATTATTCTGTAATAATCAATAGTTGGGATAATTATGAGCGGACCGTCAATAGTTGAGAATATTACTATCAATTTTTCCTATATATTATACTAGCGTGGTAGCGTGCGTTGCGCGTTTTGCATGCCCAATACCTTAAACAAGACACTAATTTGTCAAAAAACATGTAAACCCCTAAGGGAACCAACAGTAATATCACACAGTCACACCACACAATCACACCATCAGTTTGGTCAAAAAACAAAACATGCATAAGGGCAGGAGGATAACATATGTTTGTTAATTAGAAGGAGAACAATCAAGAGTAAGTGTTTGTTAATCAGATGACATGTGTGCAGATGATCGAGGAGTAGGGAGATTGCAACATGCAGCAGAAAGGATTTCATATTTAAGGCATTTGTGGGGTAGATCCTCAACCCCACATAACGAGAGGACAAGCGGCCTTATCGTACTCCGCCTGTGTTTAAAGAACACCAAGATGGTTTGACTGCTGAGGTGAAAACTTTCCTGGATCTGCTGCAGCCCTGGTTCTCTCCTTGTCACCAAGTGCGCGTCAGTTCTGCCAAGGCAGACCTGTAGATTTCCCCGATGGCTACTGGCCTGGCGCAAAAATCCTTCACAATATACCTGCATGGAAGATCCAACATTATGCAGGTTGGAATGCAGAAATCATAAATACAAGGGTAGGAACAAACAAATACCTTTGAAGTGTTCCGTGGTAGATACAGAAAGAAAGGAGGGCAATACAGCTGCTTATATGCGCAATCTGGCAAGCTTGACTCAACATACACAGAAAATGAGTCAACAATGTACAAGAACATGCATAAAGTATTAACTTATAACCCATAAAACACTTGAAAATGAGTGTTATTAACAACATAAGAGGCAATATAATGGTGAGTTTGGAAAAGTTGGAAAGAGTAAATGATTTGTGTTGGCATGTAGTCCATACACTGGAAACATACCCGGAGGAGGATTGTCAACCATAAGCCTAGAGGGTGTTCCAATGTTGTTCAGAGAGAAACCATCTTGATCAAACGCAAAGACCTGGAAAGTGAAATTACCAGCATGCCTCAAGAGCAGTCGGGAGCCGACCGAGATATTGTTCTCCACATAGAAATTCACAAACCCTTCAGTGAAAACAAAGTCATCAACTTTGACCACCCACGTAGTAGGTCCATATAGTAGCCTAGCATGTGACCTGGAGGCTCAAACAAATGCCTATGCATGCATGAAGAGATTTTCTGAACAACAGAAGGCACAAAGTAAACACAATATATGGTTGTAATGTTAATAACAAACACATAAAAGAAATGAATGAAACAATGCGAGTTGTTTACAGCCATTTCAAAGTCGGGGACGGTGACAAGAAACCAAACAACAGCAAACTACATAACATCAGGCAAATGAATAGAACTGTTCAATGGACACCCTACATAGACAAGGACACCAAGAAGAACATGATGAAATGGACAAAAGGTAAAAGTAACTAAACAAAAGAGTGGGGGGAGGGGATGGGGTCACGAACGGAATGTGTTTATAAACAACCGCTTATTTGAGGCATTGATGCACCAGGAAGTGTGCCAGTTTGTACTCTAGTTCTTTCCGGTTCCCGAACACTCTGGGTAGCACTGTAACACCGCCCCCAAGTATTTGTACTTTATCAAATTATGTATTGAAACCCGAGAAATGAATAAACTCATTTTACGTGATTGTAAATTTTTATCATTTCTTTTACGTGAATAGTAAAATTCACGTGGGGGGCCACACTGGAAGTGGGGGGC